AATAATTGGCATCAGAATGCCCTTAAAAATTGTTTCAGACTTTGCAAGCCAATCACATACAAGGTGCTTATTTTGATTGAGTAGTTTTGTTAATTCATCTTGTGAAATTATGTTCTCTCTGTGTGCTGGAGGTGTATTGTTTACAAATAGAATACCAACTAGTTCTGGATATTTTAAAGCCAAGTAATTTCTAGTGTTAACAAAATGCGAAGAGATGTAGCTAGTTTGTATACCTTGAGAGGTTTTTGACGATTCAACTATATATTCCCATGGCTGTACAGACTTGACCAGCTTTGGCAGGCAATATGTTTTTAATTCTTGAAGAGTAAGCGATGAAACAAAAGATTTTACCCGTGAAGAACGAGTTTGAGGTGGCAATTTTTCATTAATCACTGTAGATATGATATCATCTGCACTGCTTTCCTTTGGTCTTCCCCTTCCTTTTAAATTGTAGACCTTGTGCGCATGCGAAGGGTTTTCCCGGTAGTGTCGCAACAAATTATTGTAACTTGCATACGAGTGATTACACGTTTCGTAGCCACAATTATGACGAGTGCCTGCTTCAAAATTCATGGTTTACAACTCTGCACAATCTAATTTTTTTTCGCATTTTGCTGTTTTTATGTCTAAACTACTGTCACTACTAAAATTGCAACTGCTTGCGTGTACAAAACCTTTTTGACGCGCGCGTGCATATGAACATTTTTCCCGCCAAAAGTGCGAGATATAGCTAGATATAGTTATATTAAAACAAAACCACTCATATTCAATTAAAAAGTCGATTTATTTCTGTACAAAGTACAAAATATACATCAAGAAATATGTTAACTTTAAAGAAAGCTCATCAAAACAGTTCTAGGCCTTACTTTTGAAGACATTTGAAGATTTACTTGGGTTGACTCGTTGATATCCATTTTCCCATCGATTAAAATGATAGCAAAATCTCAAAAATCACAGAAGAAAAGCGTGATATTGTTTAGTTTACAGACACATCGATTAATCCTTGTCAAAATATCCCAGGAATGAGTGTCATACTAAGGCTAAACTTTGATTTTAGCTCATTATTTCACAGTCGCCGCTTCGGAAAAAACAAGATGGCGGGCAATTTCTTCCTATGCAAAGCGCGCGCTGATTTCTGGGATGGATTATTAACTTGAAAAATATATCATGCATTGCGGGCGATCCGAGATCACCTAGTAAACATGGCGACGGCTATGTTGAGAGCTGGTGTCCTCTCTTTTGTATTCATTTGCGTGTGTTTACTCTTCCCATGAATAATCAAAGAAGATGTTTTGTATGTAGATAAAATTGTGCAAAAATAGCCCAATTTAGGGTAAGTTTAAGAACTTGTTTCGGCATAAATACGAGCAGTGATTCAATTATTCTACGCGAAGGTGGAAATTTGTACTAAAATTCACACGTTTTTGTACGTTGATTTGAGATATCCACGCAATTTTCAAAGGCGAAATTACATTTCTATTCTTTTTAGAACTACATAAGATTTTAATTTAGGCAGGTTTCCGCTCTGGGCACGTCCCCGGTTTTTCGAGAAATTATAGTTTTAAACCAGTGGGTCCGACATATTGAACTCTAGAAAAAATAGAAAAACCTTTCGATTGAAGCTTAATTCGAATTCTTGGTCGAAAGTCTTACACTTTATAATTGTTTTTATTTGCTCGAGAGATGGAGAAAATACAATGAAAGTTCTGGCTTTTGGAGATGTTTATTTCCGACATTTTGACCAAAACTGTGCGACGTGTCAACATCAACATTTTTGCACACGCCATTAAAACAATGAGCTAGAAATGTATGCCACGCAAKTTTCATTGACTTGATTTAAATAAAATCTGAGAGTTCTATAAACAAGGCTTCATCCAGTTGTTTATTTGTTCTGGGCACGACCTACGACAAAAGTCCTGATGTGTTATTCAAAATTGAAAGAACCAGACATTTATATTGAAGTGGATACTTCATGATGAAACTTCACAAACAVCTTCCAYATWGATGTMGDCCAAATTGCATCAGGTAATTAATACAACTTCTGACAATGTAAATCTTGGATTTCAACTCGCCTCGTTTATGTATTAGCAAGAAATTTTTGTTTGCTTGTCATCTATACAAGAACATGCCATCTATCGTGATCGAATCACATATCCATGAACCCATTAGACCTTGATCACTTCAGTCTTTATAAATTTTAACATGTTTATCCAGTTTCATAACTCCCTATGATTAAATACACCGGATATGGATGGCTTTTTTGAACTCGCTGCTGAGAAATTTGACTTTTCATTATATGGTGTTGTTTCATAAAATGTTCAGCCGTTCGTGTCCTGTGGAAGATCGCTTCTCATTTCCAAATAAGACATTATTTTCGCTTAAACAGAAGCACGTTGTAAACAAAAAACTCCATTCTTTCGTTATTCTTGTTAGTATTTTCTCAAATATCGTTTGATCTTGAACAAAAAGTGAGGCATTTTCAAGAGTCTTTCATTCCCGCCTTTTTTTGAAAAACATCAACTATCATGCATTGCCCGCGATATACGTGCGGTCAGCGTCAACAAATGTCCCTGCTGTTACAATCTCGAGCCCAGAGTCTTCACGGCTAATGTCAGCGGTATGCTGACGCCGGAAAGACTCTGGAGTAATCGACTGGATTTGCGACGCTTTTCCGTCGCAAATTATGCAAATTAGGTCAGTTTTGTTTTTGCCGCTTTAGAGCATCAAAATGACAAAAAAGAAGGTTTAGCACACAACTTAGTTTAGGAACGGTATTGACACCTTTTTAAAAACACAAATGTGTGAAAACATGTGTGGTTGTGCGATAAAAGTATGATATTTTTGATCAAACAGGCGAGCGCGCGCTGGCAACTTGAAAAATCGACTTGAAAACAATGCGCGCTCGCGTTATTTTCAACCAATCACGAATCGAGAAAAAATGGACTCCTCCAGAGTCTCTCACATTGACATCCGCTGGATGGAAAAAGTGCGGGCTCTGGGTACGAGATTGCTGCTGTTAAATCACCCTCGTTCCCAGGGCCCGCTCTTCGCTATTTACACGAGGTTGTTTCGGGTTTCCTGTGTTCGCTGTGATGCCTTTTATATCGGCTCTTAATGCCCCTCAAAATGCTGGAAATCGCATTTTTTAGAGTTATTTCAAAATCTCCTGGGGGAGGGCCCACAGACCCCCCTTGTCATACACCCTCATGTACGGACTGACATGTGCGGACTAGCCAAAAAGTCCAGTCTAATGAAGATGAATCCACATAGGACCATTTTAAATTCATCTTGAATGCGTTCTGGTTCATTGATACTGACAATTTGCCTCTAAATAGCTGCTATTTGTTAGTATTTAGTTTGATTTTATTCCATGGTTTTCCTGCGTTTGCTATATTACATATTATATACTTCATTCTTCATTTGAAATGTCTGAGTTTCGTAAAATTATCCCAAAAACAAGATCAAGGGAAGTACTTGCGATGCTTACAATTAATACTACACTTTTTTGGTCTCGCTATTTTTGTGATTGCTCCTTCATCTCCGTTTGTTTGACCCAGTACGTGTCCACCTATAACTTGTCAAGTCAGTAATAACAAATACGCTGTGTCTATATGTAATGTATACAGAACGAGAGAGCGATAAAGATCCGAGCCGAAGGCTTATCACACTTTATAATAATTCTCATTTTAATGTTTTTGAAAAATTGAATATCTTGCTGCATTTCATCGATTAAAATTATCAACGTATGTCGCCGTTWTTAAAKATTCCGGCGTCAAATATAACTGTTTGTATGGCGCCTTCATGAAACGACTGAACTATCAAAGGAATTTCTAAATGATTAATTGAAAGTGGAATTGTCACGTTAGAAGCTTTTTATACTTAAAATTGTTTATTTTCCTATTGTTTTTTTTAAAGAATGTGTTTGCCAAACTATAGAAAATTAGAATTGTCAAAGGAATTGCAAGATATTAGGCATTCATAGTTAGCAAAAATTAAATCAGTAGACCTAAGTAGATTTAATCAGGAGACCTAAA